GTCAATCTGAGGGTATAACTTTTTTAATCATCTGATTAAATCTAGGATACACATGCATGTGATCTTATTCATCTTGCTTATCTAGTCTTACTAGATATTGATTTTGGAATTCTTTTATTATAGGACCATCCAAAACTCCTTCAGTCAACATTTCTAGAGTGTGGGAAACTGCTGCATGGGGAATCCCACGTAAAACTGAGACATATCATTCATCAAGTGATGCAAGCTTATTTTCTAGTTCATTACCTGTCCTTCCCCATGAAAAATGTACGTTTTATCTACTGATATAAAAATGTTGCATATGCTATATTGTGACGTACTTAGAATAGGACTGAGGTATTCATTTGCTAAAATGCAGTGAACTTTGGTGATGCGGAACATTCTGGTCATTCTGTTGATAATTCGTCTGAGGTGCGCAAGCTAGAACTTAAGAATGATGGAAAGGACTCACTCGAAGATGTTGAAACAAATGCAATTGGAAGTTTACTTCCTGGTGATGAAGATGACCTCCTTGCTGGCATAATGGATGATTTCGACTTAAGTGAGTTGCCTAGTCAGTTGGAGGACTTGGAAGAGTATGACGTTTTGGTACTGGAGGGGGAATGGAATTGGACTTTGAACCTCAAGAGAGCCTTACTATTGGTATGTCGAAGATGAACCTATCTGAAGGGATTCTTGCAAATGGGATTGGTCATTACCCTCTTCCAAATGGTGTGGGAACGGTGGCTGGGGAGCATCCCTATGGTGAGCACCCTTCAAGAACATTGTTTGTACGAAATATCAATAGTAATGTTGAAGACACTGAATTGAGATCTCTCTTTGAGGTATTCTAAATTAGTCTGTTATTCTTATTTACTTTAGTTAGTATTCTGCCTAATAGATCTCTTTGCTGATAAAAGTTTTATTTCTTGGGCTCTGGAACCTTCTTTTTTTTTCTTCATTTATGTGCAAATAAGAGTTTTCATTCCTGTTAATACTAGGCTACTAATTATCATCTTGAAATTCCTACGCATCTTGCAGCAATATGGAGATATCAGAACTTTGTACACTGCGTGCAAGCATAGGGGTTTTGTAATGATTTCATATTATGATATTCGAGCTGCACGTACTGCAATGCGTGCATTACAAAATAAGCCGCTAAGGCGAAGAAAACTGGACATTCACTTCTCAATTCCCAAGGTTTGGACTAGGCATGTTTTGTTATATGTTTGACACTGTTGATTCCGTCAACAAATTTAAAAGCATTTTTCTCTTATAATGTTTCAGGATAACCCATCAGAGAAAGATATAAACCAAGGAACTCTTGTAGTATTCAACTTGGATCCATCTGTATCAAATGATGACCTTCGCCAAATATTTGGGGCTTATGGAGAGGTTAAAGAGGTATAATTTTTTCCTAATTTACTCCTTACCACTTCCATTCACCATTCTGACATGTCTTCGGGACTTGCTGATGACTTGTTTGGTTGTGAGAATACAGATCAGGGAAACTCCACATAAGCGACACCATAAATTCATAGAATTCTATGATGTTAGAGCTGCAGAGGCAGCTCTTAAAGCATTGAACCGGAGTGACATAGCTGGGAAACGCATAAAGCTTGAACCTAGTCGTCCTGGTGGAGCTCGTCGAAAGTAAGTGTTAATTAGAACTGCTTTATATCATCTGATATCCAGTAGATGTTTCTGTAAGATAATCTTTAGAAGGATCTGATTTCTGAAACACTTAATATGAGGCTGTTAATGTGCTTATGATATGGGACTGTGGGAGAGAAATTTGGAATGAACGTGTGAACGTGAAGGGTAGGTGTTAGGAATGAAGATACATTCTGTGTAGTTAACATCAAAAAAAGAGAATGGGGAAGATGGTGAAAGCATTTTCCTTTTTTTCATTTTTAGTCAAAATGAGAAGGAATTGCCAGTACTTGAAAATTGTGGAGAAAGCAGGAGCAGTAGTTGTGGCTCTCTAGATACTTTAGCAAATTCTCTTCCTTAGAGTGCTTAATACTTCTGGAAACTATGAGCTCAACAACATGCTAAATTAAAATTAAAATTAATTGCACTTTCCTCATTGTTTCTAGGTGTATTTTTACACTGGTATAAAAAAATTAAAATTAATGTCCATTCTTTGTTAGTTTGATGCAGCAGCTAACTCAGGAGCTGGAACACGATGAATCCCAAAGTTTTAGACATCACATAGGTTCTCCTGTTGCTAACTCTCCTCCAGGTAAATAATATCTTAGGTGCTCTGCATTTGTGCACTCAACAGCTTTATGCTTCATACAACCAGTTTTTCTACAATCATTCCATGTAATGCATTGCTGTGACAGGTAATTGGGCACACTTTGGAAGCCCTGTTGAACAAAATCCTTTGCATGCTTTTAGCAAGTCTCCTGGTTTGGGATCTTTCAGCCCTGTAAGTAACAATAATTTGCCTGGACTAGCTTCAATTCTCCCTCCTCATGTGCCTAACTCTCCAAAGATTGCACCTATTGGTAAGGATCAAGGAAAGTCAAATAATACAAACCCAATTTTTACTGATACCGGAGCAGTGCAAGGTGTATCCTACCCATGTTCTAGATCCTTCTCCGAGAAAAAGATAAGTGCAAGCCCTGGACCAATCTCTGCCTTCAGTGAATCTAATTCAAGTTCGCCTGGTATTGGAACATTGACCGGTCCTCAGTTTCTATGGGGAAGTCCCACTCCTTACTCTGAGCGTGCTAATTCTGCTTGGCCAACACCACCAGTGACGCACCCTTTTCACGAAGTGGACAAGGTTTTCCATATACGAGTCGACATGGCTCTTTTCTCGGTTCAAGCAACCACAATCATGTGGGATCTGCTCCTTCTGGTGTGCGTCTTGATAGACACTTCAACTATCTCTCAGAGTCACCTGAAACATCATTTATGAACCCTGTTCCTTTCGCTGGTGTTGGTTTAAATCGTAGCAATGGAAGCTTTTTGATGAATGTTGGTGCCCGTGGAACTATCGGTGCTGGTGTTGCTCACGTAGGAAATGTAACTGAAAATGGTTCACCTAGTTTCAGAATGATGTCGATGCCAAGGCACAGTGCTATTTTCCTTGGAAATGGTTCTTATCCTGGACAAGGCACAACTGGCATTGAAGGGTTGGCTGACCGCAGTCGAACTCGGCTAGTTGAAAATAATGGAAACCAGATTGATAACAAGAAGCAGTATCAGCTTGATTTGGATAAAATAATAAACGGAGAAGATACAAGGACCACTTTGATGATTAAAAATATCCCCAACAAGTAAGACAAATTTATGAATGGTGAAGAACTTAATGCTTTGGGTTCATAGTAAAATGCTGTTTTTTCTTGATGGTTTCTGCTTTTATTCTATTTCTTTAGGTATACATCAAAGATGTTGCTTGCTGCCATTGATGAAAATCACCAGGGCACATACGATTTTCTTTATATGCCAATTGATTTCAAGGTACTTTCACACGGAGTTGGCATGTTGTATGGTTAGGCCAAGTTGAATTATTGGTGATTAACAATCGACTTTTCTGATTGCAGAACAAGTGCAATGTAGGTTACGCCTTCATCAATATGATCTCCCCTTCACATATTGTCTCCTTCTACCAGGTTCAGCCTTTGGTCTTTTGTTAAGTGTGTCAAGAAAGAGTAGAATATATTATCAATCAATAAATAGTATTTTTTAACATCAGAATAAATGTGTATGTGTGTGTATTTATCCAAATTAGTTTATTTATATTAAATGGTACTATAAACTATTTTCTGGTTGTAAGGGGATTACATACTGGAACTTATCCGTATAAGAGAAATATGTTGAGTTTTATGCTTCTGTGAATGTATCTTGGTAGAAGAGTTAATTATATGGAAAATTTCTGCAGGCTTTTAATGGTAAGAAATGGGAGAAGTTCAACAGTGAGAAGGTGGCATCATTGGCCTATGCTCGAATCCAGGGCAAAACTGCCCTTGTGGCGCATTTCCAAAATTCAAGCTTAATGAACGAAGACAAGAGATGCCGACCAATCCTGTTCCATTCAGAGGGCCAAGAGACTGGTGATCAGGTAGTCGAAGTTTTTAATATGAATTTTACTTGCATTTATCCTTGTTTAACTCTGAAATTCTACGCCAACATTAGATTAATGTAGACCAATTCATTCAGATAGTGTCATTTAGAGACAGCAATTAAGAACTGTTTGTACTTATAAGTTTGTGATGGTGCAGGAACACTTCCTCTCTAGCAATTTGAACATCTGTATTCGTAAACCAGATGGTTCTTATTCTGGGGATTCATTGGAGAGCCCCAAGGGCCTTCTGGATGAGAAGCCAGAGTTTAGTTGACAATAAATTTGGAAGTCTCACCTTTAGCCTTAAAAAAGGAGGGGCTAAGGATGCTAACAAGTTGATAAGTGTATTTTTGTAAGTGTATAAAGTTGGAAGACAAATTAAAGGAGAGATGTATGTTAAAGCTTGTGACATGTGCAGTGTTTGCTTTTCAGCTCTGGGCACTCCATGTCAATTCACTTGAGAAGTAAAAGATTAAATTAGGCAGAAGTTTTTTTTTATTGTATGTAGAGCAAGAAATTGTTATTGAACTAGGGGTCGAAGAATGAGGCGGAAACATGATGCTGAGGATTGAAGTCTGTTTGCAACTGCATGTGGTGCTTGTCGACCTGTGCTTGGATCTCCTCTGGGTTCTATGTTCAGTCATTGATGTCGATGTTGAAGCATGGTTCCTTTGTATGTAAAATCTGTTGGGGAACTCTAACTGCCAAGGATACGGGTGTTCATAAACTGTACAGGAATTTAATGAACTTTGTTCTTGTCAATATTTATGTATGTACGGATATTAGAAATACCGTCTTCTGTTTTTATCTCATGCCACAATGGAGCAAGAATATGTTATCATTTATATAAAATTGACGAAGCATAATGTGTTTGTAATGCCAACTCTTGAGATTTATTACCTCACTTCATTCTAGATTCATAAACTTGTTCTAAACTTCCGCATGCATCGAACGTCTCCTTTGATATAATATAATGTTCTAGGTTTTGATAAATCAACAGAAATGTCTAAATCAGTAATTTTCAACACCATTTTTATTGAAATGGAGTTGTTCAGAGAGAACAAAGAGAGTTCATATGAAGACTCTTGGAAATTTGATTAAATTTGTAGAGCATCAGCAATTGATCCCGCAAGACTCAGAACTTCAAAAGGAGCTCTGTTCTCGATGGCTTTCACAGTATGGGGGCAAGAATCTGTGATCCAAAAGTAGGCAAATCCCTTCTCTGACCCCTCTGCAATATGGGAATCAAATATCAATCAATAACTACTAAAGTTGAATCAGTCACGAGATGAGGATGGGCAAGTACTTACTGTCACTCAATTGCGTAAATCGCTCCCAGGAACGCTTCGGGAAAACACCATGTGTGACATATGCGCTCACCTTTCCCGCTCCATGAGCAAACAGAACTTTCTGGTAGAAGAACCAAGTTCCATGAACCAACAAATCAGGCAGATTAATTCAAGTCCAAAGCCAGAAGAATGCCAATAAGTAAAACGCCCATTGTATGGCAAATATTCTTTTGATATATGTACATGATCATGTCATGTCTGAAAATCGAGGCGACACCGGCTTCTAAGAGCAAAATAATTAAGGGAAAAAGTGTATGAAGAGGTTATTGGACTACAAGTACCTGGCACTCAATGAGAGTGCCTCCAGATTGCACTAAGTCATCAACGATCACCACATGACAATCGGCAGGATTTCCTTCCTTGAGTCGAACTATCCTCTTGTCGCCCTCACGAACCTTTGTGCAGATAACCTGCCAATCAATTACCATGTACTTTGAATCTACATATTATAAACAGGAACGATACCAGAATATAACATAAGCTTCCAAACTGACCGTTGGAAAATGATCCAACAATTTGTGAAATCGTTTCCAAGCTCCATCATCCGGAAATGCAATAACTATCTGAAAAAAGATATTGAATTGAATAGGAGACCATTCCTAAGAAACGTTAATGGCATTAAGTTTGGAAAAATCATGTAGAAGATGACATTGACAAGAAGAATGATGACAAAAATATATATTTAGCGCTAGAGAATATTTCGAGATGATATACTTACCTTGTCAGCATCAGGAAGCTGATGAAGACGATGCTTTAGAAGAGGAATCCCAGTCTCAAAAAATGGCAACACGTGGTCTCCAAAATAAAATCTTTCCTATATTAAAAGGAAAATTAACAAATAACGATCAAATCTCCTAATAAAAGAGAGATGATAACAGAGAAAGCCATTGATTACAGACATAAATATTGTAACAAAATTGATAAACCAATAAACTATTTCATGCTCATAGGGCTAATGCCGTAAATTGAAAGAGATCACAAAACACAAGCCTGTCCTTTGATGTTGCTCTGAAGGAACAAGTGAAACCATGAAAAGAAATAAGAGAATCCTTGTGTTGTTAAAGCCAATGTGTTGGTGAGAAAAGTAAATAACCAATTGTCAATGGTAACTCCATCCCTCAACCGATGAATCACAAATAATCATGTTTGAGAATACAGATGAACATTTTTGCTCAATGGATCCACATTAAAATGCATGAACACAGATTTTTAAGTAAGACAACTTGGAATCAATCACATATCCATGGCCAACAATGAGCCCCGTTTTTGATAACATTAATGTTAGCAATCCTTAGTCTGTGCTCAAAATTTCCACAAGGGTTGGAGATTAAATTCCAGTGAGTCTTTTATTTCATGTAACCTCTATATAAGAGGCTTTTTGATATTCAATAAAAATCAAGAAGTATTTTATGTTGGTAAGATAGGTAATGCAAAGAAGTGTCTTTATCTCACATTGGTGAGATACTGGCATGGTAAAAGGTTTATATTCCAACCTTTGAGTAATAAGGTATAAGACCCAAAGAAAATACATGACTAATTTTACCGTTTCCCTTTTCTCTTGATTCCTTCTTCAAGATCCCTACTTTTTTGCATTAGTGGGAGATTGTTGACAAAATGAAATAATGCAAAGTGGCTAGTATCCTACATTGGTGAGATACTAGCTTGGTAAAAGGTTTATAATCCAACTTTTGCCTTTACTCATTAAGAAAAATGGGATAAGGCACACGTGTCGCTGTTGGCCGCCCGATCCTGTTCGTGTAACTATTGTCTTTTGCCAATACAACACAGACTCGGTATATAAGAAATAGAAGTGACTGGTTTAAGATATATAATGATTTGTGCAATAAGAGCAGCAAAAAAAAGTGATTGATTTAAGGTATCTTGGTAGATTAAACATTACTCAAATTTACGAGATTAAACAATTATGATTCTTGTGATGTTTAAACATTAAAGTGTCTTAACAATTAGATAAAACTTTCCCGATGAAACTGATAAGCCACTTCAGAAATAAATATATAAATATCATAACATAGGAATTTATAAATATGTTGATCAATTTCATTGCACAAGAAACACGAACCTGCAGAGCATGGATGTCATAAATGACAACACTTGTTGGACCACCCCTAGATATGGGAATGTTTGATAAAATCCTTGCCATGGTAAATGCAGTTGCTACATCTCCTTCTTCTTCCATTCTCTCAAAGGTGCCAGTTGGAAAGAATGGCAATACCAAAGTGAAGGAAGCAACAAACAATCTTGGAAGATTATATATGACGGAAAGCTGTTCAAAGATAACAGCTGGGGAGCTGAACGATGCAAGAAAAGCAACATGCTGACCTCGGATATCATGTGCATTGTTTATGTAAAGATTTGGAAATCCATCATCAAAGCTCCTGTCAGTGACACTCTTTGTTTAGAACTATTCATATATATCTTACTGAAATCAATTGAAGAGCATAAAGCCTAGCAACTTAAATTTTTTTATCATATGAACTGGAATATTCTAAAACATCACCTATGATAAAGAGAAAATTTAAATGCTTATACCTGTAGAATGCAAAATTTAAACATCACTGAGATGTTAGCAAGGCAGATACTGAGGATAACAATTATTTTGCAAAAGCAATATAAATCTTATCGGAATCATTGATGCAATGGAAACAGTGTTTGTTATTGGAAGAGGATAGTTGGGATCGAAGCAACTGGAAATGATAAAGGAGTTTGCACATATCACCATATTGGCCCAGTTTCAATGAAGGACTTGAAAGAAAGAAGACAAGACAGGTTAACATGTTCTTGGGGCAAGGTCAAAATATGAAAATCAGCTGATTTTCCATGTTATTGAACACAATGGCCAATTGGTAAGTTCTGACCAGCTTACGTATATGTTTACAGCTGACTGACTAAAGAATACAAACAAAGTGGCAAAAAATAAAGATAACCCCTGAGTTCACATCCAAATAAAAAGCAGAACTTTCCCCCTTTTTTCTATACTTTTTTCTAAGAAACCAAAAATACAAATACTAATTATAATCTAGTTCAAGAAATTCGCTGCCACTTATCCCAACACCCAATCTGATCTTAATCTTAAAGATTCAAGCTTTCTACAAACATATTAAACAAAGAACAAGAAAGTAAAACAACCACCTAGAGAGATGCAAAAAAGAATCCAAAGAACGGAAAGAAACTCGAAATTTATCATTCATAGGAGAAAAAAAGAAAAGAAAAGAAAGATTTAGAAGAAGTGACTAGACCTCCAGTTGATAGATTGAAGGGTAAAGAGTTGGGAGTGAGCAGCAACTTTACGGGCAAGCTCTTCACATTCCACGCAGTAAAACAAAATAACTTTCTTCTTGTTCATGGACTTCGATTCCCCCATGTCCTTGTTGTTGTTGATCTCCATTTTTGTTTAAAAAAAGCTTTTCTTTTCCTGGGGATGAAAAGAGAAGAGACTTGGTTCAGACAGAGATTGAGAGAGACAGATTTTATGGAGGAGGGCGGGCTTTGGTTTTGGTACCTCCTCGACACTTTCCTTCCCACTTTATATATATTCTTTCACTTTTCTCTATTTTCCTGGGCTTTGTCTTGACCTAATACGACAGAAATACAATAAATGTTTGTTAAAATGGCCTTATGCAAGAGAAAAATGTAATAAAATCTAAAATTAAATATCAGCTTTGATTTGATTATTTCGTGATATCTTTAATGAGAATTATTATCTCCGTCTTATTATTTTTGTTTTTTTATTGGTCATCTATGTAATTTTAGGAAATAGATTTAATTAGGGATGGACATTTAATTTAAGTCTGACGGGTTTTGACTGATCTGATTTTATATGATAGAATTATTTAAAAAATGGGTAAGAGTCGGGGATTTTTAAAAATTGAATTCGGGTTGGATCAGATTATATGAGAGAGAATATCAAATTCGAATTAAAGTCAGATTTAAAGTAATAATTATCTGATTCGACCTGATATAAATATAAAATAATAATTAGAATATTTTCAAAATGTCATCATATATATATATATATATATATATATGTATTATTTAAAGTTTTGATTCCATTTCCCATTGCATTTCCCCACCTTTATGCTTTCTTTCCTTTTTCTTTATGTTATTCCTTTATTCTTTCTTTTTTTTTATTCTTTTTTCATTCTTCATTTCTTTTGTTCGTTTTTCATTTTGATTCTTTTTATTTTTTGACGTTTGTTTCGATTTTACGAGGATTTCATAATCTGAACAAAGATTCACGTATTGCATGTATTATTTGTGGATTAATTTCTTTTTCTTTTCCTATTTTTATTTTGTTTTGTTTTAGGATTACTTTTAAAAATCTCAGTTTTTTTTAATTTAACTTGGTGTTCAGTTTGTTTTATTTTTAAGTTTTTTTATGTTTGTTTATTTGTTTGGCTAGTATGAAAATTGAAGAAATGACGAGAAAAGAAGGGAATATGTGAGAAAATAATGAAAATCTGAAATTGATCGGGTCAAGTTAAATCAAGTTTTTATATCAAATTTCAGGTAGAGTGTCGGGTTGGGTGAAATTCTTCAAAATCGGAGGCAGGTTAGGTGATCGGTGAAGGGTAGTACTTCTTTGGTCGGAATCGAATAGGTCAAAAATTTGAATCGATCCGACTCATACCCATCCATAAACTTAACTATATGCCAAGTTATATAAAAGAGAGAATTAATAAAATTATTTTTAAAAATGGCTTAAGGGTCACTTTTGCCCCTGTAGTAGACTTAATTTATCATTTTCGCCCCTATCACATTTTCATAACAATTTAGCTCTCAAAGTTGTTTAATTGCATCATTCTATACCCTAAATTGATAACCCTAAATCTTAAATAATAACCTTATAACCTATAAACCCTAAACCCTAAACCCTAAACCTTAATCTCTAACTTAAAACCCTTAATTTAGGATTTTAAGTGAATAATTGGATATAGAATGATGCAATTGAGTAACTTCGATGGCTAAATTGATGTGAAAACACGATAGGTGCGAAATTGATAAATTAATTCCACTACAAGGGCAAAAGTTACCCTTTTGCCTTTAAAAGTTGATTAATAGATTTGACAAATTTATTTTAATAGGCGTAAAAGAATGATAAATATAAAGATAAAAAAATATAAATGTTATTATTTGTTGACTTTTCTAGTATGACATTTTAATTGAGACAATTTTAAAAATGAAACATGATAAATTTAATAGGACGAAGAGAATATTAACTAAGTGATAGTAATATCATAAATAAATAAAATATTAATTTAAAATATTTTTAAAAGTATTAATATAAAATATCTAATTTTATAATTATCTCAAACTATTAAAAATTATAAAATATAAGTTTATTTGTAACACCCCAACCCATATCCGACTCGGATATAAATTCGAAATGTCACATTGACTTTTCAAATCATTAACCTTTTAAAAAGTAGTTGAAAATTTAAAACTTTTGTTTATATCAAAATGGTGGAACCCGTAATAAAAAGGAAATATGAAAACATTCAACTCAAATTGAAAATAAAACTTACTAATTTACATTAATACAATAAAGTGTTTTTACAATATCTGATCAGAGCATATACGATTTAAACATCTAACTACATGCCAACAAAATTCAATACAACAAAATGACATATTGTCAAATCGTTTCTGATTTGATATTCACTAGAGATATATGATGTCTTAACTGGCTTGCCCTAGCTTTTATCTTCTTGCTTCTTTGAACCTACGTGTGAAACACTCACACGCTAAGTATTTGACTTAGTGAGGCATATAATACATAAATAAAACATTAAAACATTTAAACTTACTCTTACCTTTTATAAAATAAAATCATGGAATAAATAAACTGTAACACATTTCATTAGCAGAAACATATATTATCATGCACTATTCATTCATATTATTTCTTTCAATAGCCCATGGTACATTATTGAGAAATTAAGGTATGTGAGTGCATTGAGGTTGTGCACTAATACAGTCACCACTGCTCATATAAATTGTACTGAAGTGTCGCGTAGAATAAGCACCGAAGTGCCACGTAGAAATATCCCGAAGACCACGTAGATATGTCCCAAAGGACCACATAGATATGTCCCGAAGGACTACGTAGAATTGTCCCGAAGGATCACGTAGAATTATCCTGAAGGACCATGTAGAACCCTCGACTCTTAGCAAGCTAATTTTACATTTAGCTCTCATATCATGTACTTTTGGGCTTTACCATTTATACCATTTCACATAGCATATATCTCATATCCATATAATCACGCAGTTCAATATCACATGGTATGAAATGTAAACAGTGCATATTCATGTAGTAATGGAATCAAAATCATATTATGTACTCATGTAAACATGTATTCAAAACATTTAATAAACTTTCAAAATATTATTTCAATCAAAGCATTGGAAATAGACTCATCGCAAGTCTTCTTTCCATAAAGCCATATATATATATAGTAGTATGCACTCACCTTAGCCTCACACAGTCAAAGCAAAACATTTATCACTCTTGTACGCTCTTATAACGTCGAATCGTCATGATCTTGCATTCGTTCAATATCTACACAATAATACGATATAAATGAATATCGGAGCTCATATTAATATTAATCAATTATCATTAACTTAAGCTAAATGAAACACTTAATTTACAATTTTGAACTGAATAATATAGGTACTCTAATCCCAAAACAGATACTTCCTCACTATGGTATCGATACTATACTTCAGTATCGATACCCAATCTACATTCTGGAATTCGACTTCTAAAAATGGTATCGATACTTGTCCATTAGTATCGATACCCTTGGTATCGATGCTACTCCTTCGGTACCGATACTATTTTAAGGATTCATACAATTTTACCTTATGGTATCGATATTGTTCTTCCAATATCGATACTCAAACCCATATTTCACCTATTTTTACTTTGAAGTATCGATACTGTTCATCCAGTACTGATACCCTTGCCCAGAAATTTTCTATTTCAATTCGAAAATTTACCAAAACTTACTTAAATCCCACACTTCTAACTCCTTTCAAGCCTTTAAACTCAAAGAAACTTATTAAAACTAACTTATATCACTTTAACATACTTAAACATCCAAAATCCAACATAATCAATTAAAACTAAAAATCATACCAATTTATCAACATGCCCCAAATCATATTCCAACAGCTTAGATTTCATATTCTAGCTTATGACAAATAAAATTTCACTTCAAAATCTATTTACTAACTCTTTCTAATCAATTCACTAAAAAACCCTTTTTATTCATTCACCCATAACTTGTAAATATTTTAGTTTCTACATATCTTTAAGATTTCTCAAGTTTCCCTAACACTCCAAGAATCAAAACCAATCATAAATTACAAGAAATAGCAAACTTAAAGATCCTTACCTTAGCTATGGAGTCATGGTGGAGAGGAGGAAGAAAGGATGAAGAAGATAGAGAATTCTAGACTTCTCATACAACTCTTCTCCACGTGTAAATATAATATACCACTTATGAATTTTAAATTGATTTCCTTGCTAAAAGACCTTTATACCCTTTCATATTTCAATCTTTGCTAATCAATCATACACCAAGAAATTCCAAATAATCCATGAAATGTTCAATTTATGAAAATTTATCATAAAGTTTTAAAATCTTACACTTTAGTCACTAGCCCAGTTTTTGGGATGTTACAAATCTCCCCCTCAAGAAAATTCATCCTCACATTTTCACTGCATAAAGAGATGGGGAAATTGTCTACGCATATCTTCTTCATGTTCCCATGTTGCTTCTTCTACTTTGTGATTCCTCCATAACACTTTGACTAATGAAATCGTCTTATTACTTAACTGTTTAACTTTATATTCTAAAATCTGCACCAGTTCTTCTTCATAAATCAGGTCAGCTTGAACTTCTATCTCTTCCGGTACAATGATATGAGAAGTATCGAATCAATATCTTCTAAGCATGGAAACATGGAAAACACATGAATCTTCTTCATTTCCGGTGGCAAAGCTAACTGATTTGCCACTGATCCCACTCTCTTAACAATCTCGTACAGGCCAATAAATTTGGGACTAAGTTTTTCTTTCCGGCCAAAACGTAACATTTTCCTTCAAGGGAAAACTTTCAGGAATACTTTATCTTCAATATTGAAGTCAATCTCTTTTCTCTTTAGATCAATATATGATTTCTATCTATCGGCTGCCACTTTAAGATTATGATGAATCACTTGAACTTTCTCTTCTACCTCATTGATCAAGTCAGTACCAAGAACGTCCCAATCCTTGAGCTTGTACCAATTCAATGGTGTATGACATTTTCTCCCATATAAAGCTTCATAGGGAGCCATCTTAATGCTTGACTGATAGCTGTTGTTATAAGCAAATTTTGCAATAGGAAAATACTTCTTCCAAGATCCTTTGAACTCGATAACACATACCCTTAACATGTCTTCCAGAATTTGGATAGTCCGCTCAGACTGT